TTGTGCTATTATTATTACATCATTTATCATTCGATGAAAGAATGGACTTTGTTAACTTTAACTCAGTACATTCGTTTTTTTTTTTTTTTTTGGAAAGTCATCATTGTTAGTTTTGAAATTTTTTCATTCATTCATTTTCTATTTGTTCGGAAAAAAAAAACGAATCAACGAATTTTTGGAAAATTTTGAAAAAAATGGTTTAAAATTTTTTTCAGAAAAATTTTTATATTCCAATTTTATATAATGGAATAGAATGAATAAGGAGGAATTTTTCAGTTTATTCATTTATTTATTTTTAAAAATTTTGGCAAATATTTTTTTTGAACTTTTTAAATTTTTTGCTTTTTTTTGCTAAATAATTTACATATTTTACACTTGTTTTATTAGTATATTACTATACTAAAGTTACTATTAATATTTCGTCTAAATATTTAGTTTACTTTCAAAATTTTGCAAATATCGAAATTAATATTATGGCATTCTTATTTCATGATAAATTCCTTAATGATGAAATGATTACTTATCAAATATGATAAAATTGAGAAATTATCATGATGAGAAAATTGCTAACAATGCCATATTAGCATTTATATTTAAAGTATTCCTTCGTAATTAGTCTGCTTGCTAATTAGAGTATTTTTCAAGATTGTTACAAATTACTTTGAACTTTACTAATCAATAAAAAGGGCAACGTCATCTGACACTATTATTATTGTTAAGATATGTTAATTAGTTTTGACAGATGTTTTATATTTGTATTATAGTTTGATATTTACAGTAATGCTAACAATTGTCATTTTGAAGAACGATTTTCACTAATGATTGATTGATTGATAATTATAAAATTATACAAAAATATTAATTTAAGCAAGAATTAATTTCAAAGTATTCAAATATATTCCAATTATTTTAATCAATGTGAAGAAATTTCATCGTAAAATTACGATTTTCACTTTTTTTTTTTTCAATATTAACTAATCAACTTTTATATATTTTTATTTTCTAAGCTACCAATCATTTGTCTTTTCCCAAAAAATTTTCTTGTATTTCCAATGTTGTTTTCGGCAGAAAATACATTTTAGTTCATCACAATACTAATACTTATCCGAAATTCGAAATTGAAATGCGAAGAAAAAATTTCAATTTTAAGTAAAAATGGGACTATTGCAAAAATTTTTTCCTACTTAAAAAAAATCCGAGCAATTATTTTTTTTTTTGTGAATGAATTTTAAAAAAGTTTAATTTGTAGAAAATATGAAATTGATGGATGAAATAAAAGAAATTCAACACTTTGTACTTTTAATTTTGCTTTTTGTACTTCAACAAATTATTTGAAATCAACCGATAAAATGCTCGAAATTTCGCATTTTCTTTTTTTGAAAAAAATAAAAAAATACAAAAAAAACGATTGAAAAAGAAATTATTAATTAATGTTGACAATGAAAAATTCAATTAACAATTTCTATGAATATGAATGAAATTAAAATATTTCTAATATGAATAAAATGAATGAATGAACGTTAAAAGTTATTTTTAAAGTATTGAATATTGGATTTTTCTTTTTTTTTCCCTATTTTTTTTTCCTTTTTTTATTTGTTTGTAATAAAATGAAAGTAATTGTTTTATAGAGTATACAAAATTTGAAATCAAATCGAAAAGATACTATAACTATGATAAGTACTGGCTAGGTTTTTCTTTTTTTAAAAAAAAAGAAATTAACAATCTATAAATTATTCATTGATCAATTAATCAATAAATATTGATCTGATAATTTTTATGTATCATAATTACTCTTGAATTGCACTGATAATCAAAATAATCGCATCATTCTAGTGAATTTTATGATACATGGATAATATTTATCATTATTTGATATGTCATGGTTATTTTATCATTCATTATCAATCTTATTATCATTTTCTATTTTAATCAAATTTTATTTATTCTCAATTCATCCCTTAATTCTCTTCCTAATACTTACATATTTATAGCATCTCAAAGTTGGCAATAAATTAATGCTGAAATATTAACTTTAAAATTTGTTATTTAATTCTAATTGGTATGACAATAATAGTG